GAAATCTCCACTCATATTAATAGGACCAATTTAAAACTAGAAAAAGTCAGATTACATCTGCACTCAGCCTGAGACAGTAGCTTTGTGTGTAATTACATACAAAACAAATTATCTTGTCAAATCACTACTACTCTTTAAAGTAAAATAAAAATGTGATGAATCAGTTCATATTTTCCAGCAACACCGGAAAATTTTCCAGCTACTTCCTCTACTCTGACTGTAAATTCTGGAGTGTCTTCCAGCAAGTGACATCTAGAGCAGAGGCTCACCCACTGACATCCTGAGCTACAGAAATCATTAGCAGCCCTTGGAAATTCTGGAGGCACAGACCAAGTGAGAGGACTGGAGGCACTTCCCTTTCTCTGTAGGCCTCTGTATGTTGTAAATCGAAACCTTTCTCACCAGCCTCAACTCCTGTGAGCCCTAGTATGCTCCTCTCAAGCCTTGGCAAGTCTGTTTTTCTCATTAGTCCATGAAGGAAAAAAAAACCCCTCTGAGGACACACATTTCCTCAATATAGGAGATTTTACAGAAATCATCTAAGTTCTATATTGGCTTTATCTTATCCAGTAAATGTTGATCTTGAAAATAAAACACGAACAGGGACAGAGCTACTAGTGTTGATCTCTTTTTCTTCCATGTTTCTTCTTAAAAGATAAAAGATACTCAAGTAAAAGTTTAAAGCTCCTTGGTGTTTGTTGTTAAAAATCCAGTAAATTTGTTATTAAGAATTCAGTAATTTAGAATTCTATTCTTGAAAATAATTTTAAATTTTGAAGGATTATTTTCCATTTGTTTGGATCTAACCTTCTCAATTTTGAGTTTTATATGGTTCTGGAAAGGTAAAAAAACAGGCTAACAGGGGATATTTATTTGCCCTACAGAGCAATTGTCAGTGCTACATAAGAATGAATGACAGACTGATTTTGCATAAAAGCATTGCAAGGAACAGCCAAGTATACATAAGTATGGCACAGGGCCTCCACTCATTAAATGTTTTGCAGCACACTAAGTCAGGAGCGGAGACACATGACAACAGAAAGACATCAGTCAACATCAGTACTGCAAATTGTCTTTTCACAGAAACAGCATTTTGCAGCAGCTGCAACAGACATTTCTTCATCACACATATTCCAAACCTTAAAAGTCTTACCTCACTAAACAAATCCAGATACATTGCTAAAAGTCAAAAGCAATGTAGTGCTTCACTGCTACCATACAGAAATAGATCTAAACATAAAACCATCTGTTTCCTAAGGAAAAAACTAAATCCCACACACCATTTAGCACCATCTCTATTTCTTCACAGTCTGTAGTTAAGTTTTCAATTTCTTAATTCAATGATAAATTAGCAGAATGATATTCACAATTAAATTAGATTTTCCAACTCTAAAACAACAGGTTAATCCATCACATTCAAAAATGCCTCCTACTCAAAATGTAAGTCAGGAAAAGCTTATTATCTGTAGATTTGGCTCTATATTAAAATTCTGAGTGACAGACTCTAAATACACTTGAGAGTGTATTGACTCTCAATACACTTGAACTTGAGCTTTGCAATGTATTTTTAAAGAGTGCAAAGCAAAAATGTGGCTATAGTAATTAAATGATCCCTGGTGCAAGATGTTCTTATAGTGCATACTAACCACTCAGTCACATTTGATCTGGTTTCACAGAAAGGTCTTTTTCCATAGATTAGTTTGCATTTCAGGTAATTTTATATCTGGCCTTAGAAAGATCTTCTGGGATTCAGCCAATTATGCTCTTAAATTGATACCTTTATGTAATATTTCTACAAGACACACTGTATTCCCCAAAATTTAAAGATCACAGAGCACTGAATTTTGAAGTACATAGCACCTGTGAGATTTCATTGCATATCTACATATTGAGTATAAATACTGCAACATGTTTTGTTTGATATAGGCTGTCTCATAAAAAGGCAAATCACTTTTACGCAATGGTTAAATCAGAATTATCTTGAACATGTAAAAAAATGAAGAGTACACAATTTGGCTTCATTACATTATCCAAGAGTTCTTTAAAAGCTTTATTAATGATTTTTTGATAAGCACCATTCAATGCTTAGATTATGTTGATTGATACTATTACATATTTAAGTAATTCCTCTACAAACATCTTGGCTAAACAAAAACAAAACAAGAAAAAAGTAAGTACAGATGTGACAGACTACTTTCAAAAGCATTTAACTCTCTGTTTAATGAAAGAATTTATTTCTGAGGAATATACATTTATAATTTCCTCTGTACTCATTTTCCTTTTTGCATTTTGTTTCTTAAAGCCAGCAGTGTCAAGAATTTATTCATACAAGCTCTCAAATTGATTTAAGTGACTAGGCACTGATATTTTTGGATTCTGTTACAAGCTTCTTCCTTATCTTGTCATATAACTTTGATCAAAGTCATTTGCACTCAAAATTTTAGGAGTCTCTACTGCTTGCTCCTGCTGAGAAACATGGAGTGTCATTGCCAGACGTAATGAATACCTAACAGGTTCAATCTGTTTCATTTGAAGCTTTAAGTGTTCAGCAAATATGGAGATAAAAACAGATTCAAAGGCAGAAGACTCCAAAAGTCATGAAGCAGGCAGAAGTCACTGATACCTCTTAAGGCAGATATGATATTAATGACGAGAAAGGAAATTTGTACAGAAGCTGTCTAATGACAGGACATGAAGCGCACACACACCAAGCAGACTAATGAAGGGAACAAAAGATAGGGTTTCACTCCCTCAATATTTCTGTTTCCCAACACCTCCAATGAGTCTTCATCTGACTGTTAAAATCAGATCTTGATGTCTTCGCATGTCATGCTTTTATCTAGGAGGAGAGTATAGCAATATTTCTCAGACACAGACTTATCACAGTAACACAGACTTTCCAACATTTGCAGTATGAATTCTGAAGGCTGCAAGACATTGTATAAGCATACAGTACCATTCCAGCCTCTGTGCTAGATTACAGAGTTCAGGTAATCAAAAGACAATGTACCACAAACGTTAACAGTATGACATATCCAGAGTCCTTCCCAAAAATCCTCATACAAACAAGACCAGACATACATAGCTCATCACTGAGCTACTCATTTAGTAGTCACTCTGACCAGCTGAACAACTGGGTTGAGAAACATCTCATGAAGTTCAGCAAGGGAAAACAACAAAACCTGCATCTAGGGAGGTACAACGCTGTGCACCAGTGCACACTGGGGCTTCACTGGCTGGAAAGCAGAAAAGGACAAGAGGTGGGATCATGGACCCCATGGCAAAGCTGGCCAGCTGCATCCTGGGCTGGATAAGGGGAAGCACTTCCAGAAGGTCAAAGGAGGTGATTCTTCCCATTTTTCTCAGTACTGGTGAGGCACACCTGGAGTTTTTCCTGGATTCTCCAACACAATGAAGATATGGACATACTCAAGACAGTGTAACAAAAGGCTGTGAACGTGATTGTCATGGTTTGACACTGGCACAATGCCTGCACCCCCATGAAAATGCAACCTCTCATCTGAATGCTGTGAAATGCGACCGAGAACAGGGCAAAGCAGGCCCAAGCTTAACAACAAGGGAAAAAACTTTATTAAGCTGCTACTACTACTATACTACTATAAAAGAAAAAAAGAAAGAAAAAAAAACACACACAAAATTCAAAATTTAAACCTTGCAAAGCATTCCTCCTCCCACCGCTCAACTCCAACAAACCACAGCAAGACACAACCTGGACCCAAATCAGGTTCCCACCCTCCAGATAATCAACACTCAGTCCATCGAGGGAGAGAGGAATCCCTCCCGTGCCACAGGCTGCCCAAGAAACACAGCTGCGACATCCTGTGTTTCCATGTCACACATGGCACTGCCCAGAGAAAATCTGCCAGTGTAACACTCTGTTTTCCATGCACAGTGCTCTCACCACCAATGCATGGATGGACAGACTGCTCTTAGGATTTTCCTTTCAAGGATGCTCTGCCAAGAGGGAAAAAAACAACAGTTCAGTTTTTTCATTTTTGGGACCGCAGTCACCCCCTTTCCCCCTGGGGCCGAGGGTCCAAGAACAGAGATCTTCTTCTCTTTGAAGACAGGAGGCACCATCACAAACCTCCCTAATTTTTATCTGTTCACTCCACGTCTGTCTTTTCCCAGATGCTGAAGCATGTCTCTTTGGCTCACCGGTATCCTCCCAAAATACAGTCTCTCTCAGTCAGGCCTTCCCCTCCCCTACCCAGCCACGGCCGGGCAGGGGAGAGTCCTGCACTGCAGCTGACTGGAACCAGAGAGTTCCCCTGGGAATTCTGCTTTTAACCCCTCTGTGTTCTCAGAGGCATGTCCACCTTCAATTGGTCAATATCCAAATTGACCTCTTCCTTTCGAAAAGATTCTTTTTCCATGTCAAACCACGACAGTGATGAAGGGATTGGAGCATCTCTCTTATGAGGAAGGGCTGACAGAGCTGGAACTACAGCCTAGAGAAAGATCAAGGAGATCTTATCAGTCTATATATAGATGCCTGATGGATGGAAGACAAGGAAGCCAGGCTGCCTTCAGTGTTGCCCTGTGACAGGACACAGTGGCCAGAGAGTAAAACACAGGATACTCCAGGTGAACATAATACTGTATTTCTAGTCCAAGTATGGTTAAACACTGACTTGGGTTGCTCAGAGAGGTGCTGAAGTCTCCATCCTTTGAAATATTAAAAATTCAACTGGATATAGACCTAGGCAACCTGCTCCGGCTGATCCTGTTTGGGCCAGGGCATGAACCTTGTCCTTTTGCCCTGTGCATAGTCACTTTCATGACTGGATACCACGCTCAGACACTACCACGGCAGTGTCCCCTTCCCCACTTCCCAGGCAACCAGCGACAGGAGTATATATAGTCGAGGTCTTTCCCACCCTTAGGGACGCCGCGGCACAGAGCCCGGCGGTCGGGGGCGGGATCGGGAGCGGGAGCGGCGGCGCTGTGACGTGGCGCCCCGGGGTTGCCATGGTGCCGTGAGGGGCCGCCACAGCCGCGGCCATGGCGCCGCCCGCGCCGCCCCCCTCACGAGTCTTCGCCGAGCTCGACCTGGCCCCGTCCCCGGCCCCGGAGGGACGCGTCGAGCCTCCGGCGCTGCCCGGGCGGGAGGTGCATGTGAGCGGCAGCGCGGAGCTGAGCGCCCGCCCGGACCGGGCGCGGGTGTCGCTGCGGCTCGGCAGCCGCAAAGAGGCGGCCGCGGCGGCGCGGAGCAGCGTGTCCCGCCGGCTGCAGTACATCGCCCACAGCGCCCGCCTGCACGGCGTCCCGGTGAGCTCCGCCGCCCGGGGCCCGCTGAGGCGCCGGGGCGTCCCCAGGGGAAGGCGAGGGGGGACAGCAGGCGGGGCAGCTCCCGGTCCCCGGGGCAGCTCCCGGTCCCGGTCCCGGTCCCGCTCGGCAGCCGGCAGGGTGCGGGCCCGTCCCGCCGGGGCGGCCTGAGGAGCGGCGCCCGCGGAGGGCCCCGGTGCCGGCGGGAAGCGGGAGTGACGGGCTTGGAGCCCTCGGTCCTCCGCCTGGGAAAGCCTGGGAAAGTCTTTGGAAGGCTGCAGCGGAAAAGGCGGAATGTCGCTCCTCGGGCTTTCCAACAGGTTGCTTGTTTAGCATGTGGAAGCCATCCTCCTCCGATTCCCACGGCGGTGGAATCGCCGTCCCGGAGGCGTTTAAAGAGAGGCTGGACGTGGCTCTCAGTGCCATGGTCTGGTTGGCATGGTGCTGTTCGGTCTAAGGGGGCACTCTGTGATACCGGAGGTCTTTTCCAACTTATTCTGTGATTTGTTCGTGTAATAGAGCATTCGCCCGTGCATACGAGTGAAACTGATAAAGTTGTACACAGTTGTTTGTACACAGCAGCCTAACCCGTACCTGTGTGTGTCAGAGTAACTGTGCTTACCTGAGCTTACCAGCAAATACGTACAGAGCTCTTTATCTCTTTATTGTTCTACTAAAATGGAGAGGTTTTGAAAAACATAGGATATGATCAAGATAGCTGAAGTGACAGAAGCCCCATTGTGTAAAGTTCCTTTACCACAATGAGTTTTTTAGCTTCTGGAAGTGATTTTGCAAGAATGAAAAAAACATAGTCTTGCCTTTAAAGCTTTATCCAAACAGTAAATGCTCTATAAGGGTGATACGTCTCCTAACAATTGTGTTGGTGATGTTTTTGGATTTCACAAAAGAATTTTGGACAGTGTTACACACATAGGGCTCTTAAAAACAGGGGAAAAAAAAGATACTTCATGGAATAAGCAGTTGTTTTCAAAAGTTACTTCTTATTGAAGTTCCCTAGGAAGTTTGTGCCTTTTGAGTGTATTCACAGATAAGGTGGAGAAAAAGGGTGATGATAAAGTTTGCTATGAACACAAGATTATTCAATGGAGTAAAAAAGAATTGCAGAAGGGTTTCCTGATACTGCATGGAGTTACAGTGCAAGTCAGAGTTAGTAGATGCAAAGCAAGAGCATAAGTTACTCGGCCTAAACAGTGATGTGCCCACAGTGAAATTGCATGCCCACATTTCAAATGCTGCATATGTTTGAAGAGAAGCACTGGCACCAATTTTTCACTTCCCAAACAAAATAAGATTACCTCAGTTTATTTTGAGCTGTTTTGTGGTCGCTGTAACATCGATACAAATTGTTCAGGAATAAAGAAGACAGTAAAGAAGACCACGTAGCCCCTGAGAAAGCTCATATTGCAGCTGTGGGATTGGATGACAAGGGGGACATGGAGGCTGCTTTAGGCTAGGTATTGATCATGGCTGGGTGCATGTCTGTCACAGGCAGCATTTGTCATGGGTTCCATTGCCATCAGGATGACTCATTCAGCCAAAACTGGTGCATTTTTGTAAGGGATTACAGGTTAAATGCCTTCAGTGTCTATTAAGTGAGTTAACAGGAGTTTATAGTGCTGAATTTTAAGAGGAATGGGAGAAGACAAAGCAATTCAGTATGCATTCATTCTTATTAGTAGCGAAAATGTTAACCTTTGTACCCACCAACATGGTGAGCCATCAAATTATGGGGCATTTTCATCCTGACTGTAATTAGATAGCTCTTCAGAGCATGGCTATGTTAGAAAAGATAGTTGCAGATATTTACCCTACAGTGAATCTGAACAACTGATTTCCAGTTTTGACTGGATACTGATTGAATCTGGACAGCAAGGAGCATCCAACATGTGGCGGCTGGCACACAACAAGAGCAGTCAGGGTGTTAAATAGGTGAGTGTGCTTTAGAGGGGCTTGTGTGCACCACTCCAGGCTAGAAAAAATGATTGGAAACTGAAGTATGACTTGGGCAAACAAATGGTTTTGTTTGGGCTTATAACAGTCAGGTTCAGAAAAGTAATGTCAGCAGGCAAGCAGGGTGGAGAGTGGGCTGTTTTTACAATGTGAGAATATTCGGTGTCTTATTATAGTTACAATAATTTCACAGTAATCTTTTTCTGTTTCAAAGATGCTGTGTGGTGGAGAATGGAAATGTTCTTTCCACTTAGTTGAGAGACTGTGAAATGCTGCTTGAGTTGTGGGTTTCTCAGTGTTAACAAAGTGTTAGCTCTAGGGAACTCTGAGAAAAACAACATGAAGTTTTTTTTTTCAGAGTAGTTCCCCACGGTATAATTTTTAGTGCTTTGTTTCATCCAGTTTTAAATCACTCTACTGCTGGAGCTTTTATTTGCCTTGCAGCTTTTCCACTAACAACTCTCACTGCTGGCAATTTGTTCTTAACTGCATTTGCTAACTTCACTTGCCGCTAATACCATTCTAGACAACTGTAAAATTAATCTCTCTTCAAAGTCTCCATATGGTTCTAGTTGTTGCAGGCTTATCTAAGGCCTCTTTAGAAATCATCTAACTATACTATATATTTATTTTTAATTAATCTACAGAACAATTTTCTTAACCCTTATTGTTGCTATAGTAGGAAGTCTGTGAGATCAGAAGTCCATAACCTTTGCAGCAGCAGGAGCTTGCATTAGCAGCTTGTCAGGATGCCTGGGGGCAGCACCTGATTTCCATATACATTTACACAGGATTTTAATCAGAAATAGATGCAAATAGTGGCATTTATTTATAGAATGCTGTAAGTATATGCATTCAGAGCACTTCAGAGCACAGAATGTGGTTTCCCCATTGATTTTTCTTTCCCTGCAGCCTTCAAAACAATCTCCCTTAATCAGCTCAGCTGCTTAAAAGTAACATTTTCTTCTCTTTCTCTAGAAGCAAACAAATTTTATATTTGCCACCTATGATTTATTTGGGGAGTGGTGTGGAGATGACACTTATTTTCTTTAATGGCTATATCTAACAGTTGGCATCAGCACCTTGTTCAAAAATAATCTTTGTTGTACCTGTCAGAGTGTTACAAAACAAAACAAACCATCTAGCCAACTATATCTGGGAGGCTCTGGGTTAGAGATTGTCTGAACTGGGATACCTCCATTGCATTTATATGCAACATTCTCCATATTTCAAAACTTAATTCAGGAGTCACAGTTATGGATGCACATGCATACAATCAGTTAAAAAAGGTTTTAAAGTTTGCTCACTTAGTTTCAAAATCTTCCAATGCCAATGTATCCCTGACTGAAGGTAAAAACCTTTGTAAGGCATCGCCGTTTTTATATTACCACGTATTTAAAGAAATATCTCCAGAGTACCCTGCATTTGCTGAGTACAAATATGCTTTTTGTCTTTCTTGTAATAACTGTTATATATAGGTCCGTTATTTTTCTTTAAGCAGCAGAAACTTTCCACCCATAGGTTTTTGGGTTATTGTCCTATCATCTCATGCCAAACAGACCAAAGTGTGGGGATGAGAGGCTGGAGCACAGTTACCCAATCCCAGAAGGTGCTCACCATCCTTATCTGTCTGGAGACACGGTGGATGACTGTCAGGAGACAGAAGCATACATCAAGACTCTCATTAACCATTTCTATAGTGCCAAGAACAAAAATGACATGATCAGATGGAAGAAGCTAACTCTTTTGATTGTTCAGATATCATTATTTTTCTTTATAATGTAAAGTTATACTGGCTATATCAGTTTAAATGTACAAGTAGATTTTAAGAGACATTTTCAAGTGTCTCCAGATACTTTTTATTTACAGTTACACATATCAGTATACATTACGCAATGGGCATTAGCATACATTCCAATCTATAAACGCTTTCCCTTGCTCAGGCTTGGTTTATGTGTCATAAAAACATCTCATAGTTTTGTTAAGTCATTAGCCAGGAGCAGAACACATAATTTTATGTGCAGATGGGCTATTCTCTTAGTGTGCTGTTGCATACTTGTCTCCTTGAAGCATGCTTTTGCTGACTTACCCATTTATTTTTTTTTCCCCTGTTCTCTCCTGGAGAAAAGAGCAGTCATTCCTGTAAGAAGTCAATGTCATTGAACGTGGGCACAATGGTCCTGTGACTAAGACATTTTTCAAAAGTAGCAGATATGAGGAAGGGCTATAAAAGATTCTGTTCAGTTGAAAAGAGTGAAAATATAAAGCAAAATATATTTCTAGTCTTTATATGTTCAATGGGGTATTGACTATCTTTTTCATTTTTGTTTTAGGGTGCCTGAAGCTGTGATGAGATGCCACATAAGAAATAGGCTTTATAAGCAGAATTCAAGTGTGATTCTGTTCAGAGTTGTTCAATGGCTTCTGGGTTGATTGAGATAACAATGTTGTTATATCTGTTTTAACTATTTTCTGTGATTCTTGGCCCAGAGATTTAGAAAATGTAGAAAGTTATTCCAGATGTCCAGAGCACCTGAAGTGCAGATTTCCCTAAGTCACAGCGAAAAGTATTTCTTCTGTGGCTATTGCAATCAAATGGGTATTTCCTCAGCCAAAATATGAATAGTAGACATAAACAGTAGGGAAGAAAAATTTTTGCTTTTGAAGTAGTTTTCAGTCTTGATTCCAATTTAAAATTCTGTTGTCTCCTACCTGTCTTTTCCATATCTTTGTGTGAACACAGTCACTAATGGAAGCAAAGTATCTAACAGAAAATGTATCACAGAAGGCCACCTTGTTATGACTTCAGCAATTATTTTGTCCATTTATCTTCAGCAGCACATACAGCTACTGTCAAATTGGGTGGGATTAAAGTGAGCTGTGAAGGAAATTTTGTAATACATGGTGCAAAATGATCTTTCAGTCCATAATATCGATCTTGCCATAGCACTTGGTACCACGGGATGGCAGTGTCCTTAAATGCACAGGAACCTAGGGAGGGCACAGCCAAATTCCAAGGCTTGGATCTACTCCGCAGGAAAGAAAACCTGTTTTTAAAAAGGATTAAGGAGAGGGCACCAGGGAAAACAAATGCATTTTTTCTATGTTTATAGTTGTGTTACAGCACAGCTATATCTCTAAGATACAAATCGTAGTAGTTTGTGTTTTCTGTGTGATAATTTCAATAAGATACATGAAACCTCTGGGGAAAAATCTTTATTGCTAATTGTAATTGGATTATATCATAAATAGTAAGATTTACCAAATCTTGTAAATTAAATAAGCTGATGGTGCTAGACTGGCTTGATCACTCTTTAACAAGCTCCAGCCAGCCACATAAAAGAAAAAAATACAGCTTTCATGGACTACTGGCCCTTGCTAATCCTTGCTCTTACTGGAAGAGATTTTCTGAAAATATCTAAAAATAGGACTGTTGTGCTTGAGCACTACCAATAAATCATGATACAATTTTGAAATTTCAGTTTTTTGTGCTTTTATTCAATGGTAGTAAAACCATATAATATTTTAAAAGAAAAATGCTGCTCACAGTTAATGTTATTTGCATAAACTTATGCATGCTACATGATAAACTTGAAGACTTGAGCGTCTGTAGGAAATACTCTGACACAAAGCATCTTTTGTGTGTCAACATTGAAGGCAAATATTTCCTACACAAACAAATCTTGTAAATAAAACTTTAGTAACTGGAAGGCTGGGTATCTGCTTTACTATAGTTCATGGGTGTTACATGCAAAGCTGCAATTAAACTGTAGGCTGTGCTTTTTTTGCTATTTAGAGTAATTTCACAATAAATTGTTCATTCAAACTGTTTACTGCAGAGCAAAATGAGTGAAAAATATGTGACTGTTAGACCAGTAGCAAGCTGGTCAAATATTCACATGTAACTGCAGTTATTTTCTATCTTCCTGAGTTCAGTATCTTACTTATATGTGCTACAGGATTTGCTAGTGCTCTGTGCAGCCATTATGTTGACCAGTGTAGCTGCTGTTGGTGCTGAGGTATCAGTGGTGGAACAGCCTTTTTCAAGGGTTACCATTATGCCAGAATAATAGCTGTACAGTCTTTGTTCATATGACCTTGCTACAAGCTGCTGCTGCTGTTAAAATATCTTAAAATAGGGGTCTAAAAAGCACTTCTCACATACTAACTTTCTAAAAGCAATTGAAGCCTTTAGATTTATAGTACCGGGTAAATTTACAGTTACACACTAATACAGCTTCTACCTAACAGCCACGTTTATGACCTAATTGTGCTCTTCAAGGTAATAGTAGCAAAATCACATTATAGAGCTACTGTATCATTGACTTAGAAAAATGCAAGAAGTCTTTAACATCCAGCTAGTTTTTAACTGAAGATATTTACATGGAAAATTCAAAATTTTTGTTGCAAACTCATAAGTAATATGCCAAAACAGTTCAGCTTTTATAGGACATCATGTACATACAGCAGATGCTTAATTTCTGTCTTTTAAGGTTATATTCCTCTACTTTGTTTTAGGAAGAAAATATGACTGTAACAGAAGATTTTAGTAGAGTAGAAAATACTTACCAAATGGAAGCAGAGGTATGTATTCAACCTAACCAAAAATAAAACAAAATAATAAGAAGTGTGTCAAGGACCTGTAAAAATTTGCAGACTATCTTTTCTCAGACCAAGGAACATAACAGCAGCATAGTTCAAAAAAACTATTTAAGGACTGCAGTTTATAGCAGAGTTCAGCTGCAGTCTTCTGTTGTGTGCAGAACTTGTTTTCATCTCAGATGAATGTGTGCTTTTGAAATGTTACCTGATGATACAGACTGGCGTATTTAGTTCTGGGGCAGTGGGAGCAAACGAACAATTCTGAACTTTCCTTCACCCACAGCCCTACCTGCTCTCTGCTTCTTGCAAGGAGTTGGTGAGTTCAGAAAGCTGCCCCAGTTAATAACCTTTTTTTTTTTTTTTTTTCCCTTTTTTTTAGCTCCTTGAACTGGGAGCAAATGCAAGATCTGCTTAGGCCACAGTTGCAGAGCAGCTGGATGTTGGTCAGTTCTACACAACTCTGCCATCAGCTTGCTCTAAGTAAAGTAAAGATAATTGTTTTCTTGGGTAATTGGCTCAGTATTTTGTAGGTAAAAAGTGTTCTGTGAAATGCAGATATTATGGGAATAATCCCATTTACTTCAGTGTCTGCTAAGGGAAGTATATATTTGCACATTCATGCCATAGTAGAAAATAAATGCTGTGCTTTAAACGTTCACTGAGGGAAATTATGTGTGTTCAGCTAATGTATTTTTTAGACCATAAAACTTTAATCACTACCCAGCAAGTTTAGAGATTTTTACAAAGTAAACCTGGAAGCCTGTAATAAAATGATAGCTGTTTTATAGAGCTGTGGTTTAGAGTCCTCTTAAACAAGTTCAGCCTCCTTAGTTTGTTTGCTTTAAGGCATATTCTCATCTAAATAACACCAATAAATACAGAAATTATTGATAATTTGGAGAACAAAATTTGAATTTTAAAATAAATCATAAGATACTTAAATGGTGTGCATCAGTGTCATGTTCTGAATGACTTCAGCTTCCTCGTGGAGACACCTACTACTTTGAGAGCTTAAATAACCATGTTTTTTAGATGACCTGTACTTAAAAAGTAATAAAACTCTATTATTAATTATTATATGAATCATTGTTTAGGCTACAGACAAGCTTAGGCTTACAACTTCAGTCTTAAGTGGTAACTTAACCAATTATCCATCTTCTGCTATTAGTTTTTATACAAGGATTATATGTGGAAGGCTAATTGCTTGCATTTAGTGTTGATTTGTAAGCAGCTTGGAGCAGCTGTGATTGCTATTGCAAAGTTGTGTGGTTGCCTGGGAGCCCGGGGGTTGGAACTGGAAGAATCCAGCCACAGTGCTGCTGTTTTGGCTGCCCTGCACACTGAGGTAGCACTGTGGCCACTCTTAATGCAGAGATCAGCCTCTCCTCACTTCTCCCTTTATGTATAACCTTGTTTCATTAGTGCAGCTTCATAAACCAATGAGGTTCCATTGACAAGCATGTTTGCCTACTTTAGCAATATAAATGGATTTAAAACTCACTTCCACTCACTTCTCTGTTAAAGAGTTTGCCATTATATCTGTGTTATATGTAAAGTCTTGGATGTCTTGCGTTACTTCATTCTGCAAACTCTTTACCATTTGTCTTCTGTAAAGAATTTTAGAATACTGAAAAATTCCCAGGCATACAGCTATTTAAAAGTATAATGGAAAATTCAAGATATTCTTTCAACTGTAAGGAGATAATTTTAATTCATGCTCTAACAAAGGAAAATATGCAGAAGAATGATGTTGTGTATAAGATCACAAAGCTCTATAATATTTTTATCATAATAGTTCATTTATTGCATAATGTTCTCATGGGAGGAAGATTATGTTGGTTTTGTGCATTTCTTAATACACTTGCCTCCTTAAAAACCATAACTTCTTGTCATTAGCAGCCTTATCCGAACCTTGGAATGTGTCTAATAATTTTGCATAGCTTCATGTTATTTTTTCACACTTTTTAACCTTAATAACTGATGAAATTAAAACATTTATTTGCATTTTAATGTTCAAGTATTCTCTGTAATTGCAAGTGGAATCTATGAATGTATTAGATGTAGCTCTAAAAGAAAATTGTGGGGTTTGTTTTTTAGGAGGGGGAAACAGCAAAATCAGCTATTGCTCAGTTGTTTTCTGCCCCTGAGGGTACCTGATCAAGTGCTTCTTTTTTAACAGTAAAATTCCTGAGTGCCCAGAAATGCCCCAGTCTGAAAAATTTATCTCCTGCTTAAGACCCATAATTCTTTTGTTTCATCATGTTTCTGTTTCATCCCCTAGAAGGAACAAATCTTGTAAATGCTGATGGCAATCTTGAAAACACTATGACAGTCCTCATAGTGAGACTTTCCACAAAATACAGCTATGACAGTTTTCTGACAAAATATCACAGGGGCATGTATGCTTTTTATATATATGCCAAGAACTCCCACTGAAGAAAAAACTGTAGGTATAGCCTCATCTTCAGTCTCTGTTCAATTGACACTACACCTTTCAGAGCCACTGAACCAGTGCAAGCCAGGATAAGGTTCATGTACTACACCAAAAGGCTATCAAGGGTAACAAGATGAGAGCATTAATTACTTTTTACCTTACTCTGTATGTGAAGTAGCTCCCTCCTCACACACTGAGAGACTCTGCTTCCTTGAATTATCTCATTCTCCACAAGGTAAGTCTCTGGTATGCACACAGGAAACTGCTGCAGTGCAGCTGACATGCTGTAACTTGGATTTGTGTGTCATAGCCACTCACTGGGGTAGTGGTACATAGAGTGCAGCAGCCATGGGGGCAACTGTATGTCCCAGGTAGTAGAATTTTCTTTACTGCAGGCTTTTTCTTCCATTCCTGTGGAAGCTGTATTAGTATGCAAAAAGAAGGGAGTCGGGGATAAGAAAGAAGGTAAACCTGACTCATGGTGAGAGCACTGTACTGGAAGTGAAGATGAGGTTTTAGGTTTTTTAAAAAAGAGGGATCCAGGATTTCTGATTGCTGAATGCTGTATCAGCTCAGTGTCATTGCTTCAGTCCTGGAAGCTGTGCTTTGCCACAGAGAAAAACTGGCTTCTGCCTGGAAAGTTGTGCCTGGCTGGAATTTCCACCGGGAAAACTGTTGGGCTCTCGATCCAAGGCTGATAATAATTGCTGCTTCATAGCATTTGGGAAGGACCTGAATTCCTAATGCATCTTCATTTAATGCTTCTTAAAGCCAGGGACTGTTAGGTGTTTAAATTGTTTTTAATCCAAGTCTGAATTTCCCTCTCAGCCCAGTTCCCTCTCAGCACTGCAATGAGTCTGTTTAGACAACACAGGATTTGGAGCCCACTGCAAGCTGAACTGGGTTTGGCTTAGCTTAATCTCATAGCTGAGGTTTCTTTAATTTAATGCTTGGAATTAAAATGTACTTTTTCTTTGTGCACAGTGTTTTCTACATCATTTTGTATGAGCTTCTGCCAGGATGCATCTAGTCATGCACCAAAGAACACATTCATTCATCAGATTGTCTGCATACCAAGAATTCTGTATTTCCTCAGAAAGGGATTTCTTAATCCTCAGTTTTAAACTATTTAAGAATTTTTTTCTATTGCAAACCTAATGCTAGTCTCTAGGGCTATATAGAAGTCTTATAAGTTCATAAATGTTGGAGTTTTATACAGGACTAGTAAGTTTAGTTACCTTGTAGATGTCTGGCCTTATACTGACTTAAATGAAGTGTTGAGTCATAGTGGAAAATGAAAATATTACTCATGTGATGTCTGTTCACTCACTCACAGGTCTGTATCATATTCAGTGATTTTGGAAAAATGCAGAATGTTTGCAATCTACTCATTGAAAAGTTAGGAACCTCTGTTACCATCAATCCACCTAATTTCTACCACACACCAGAAGCCATCGACACACTTCGGTAAGTTCTCTCAGATGCCAAAAATCTTACAGCCTCAGTTTATATGAATACATAATTTATGCTGTTTTCAACGGGAGCAAGTAGTTTCCTTCGCACCTATTAATATTTATGTTACAGATTTCTGTATTTAAATATAACTTATAAATTAATGCTGTTCAACCTTGAAGATAGAATTTATTCTTGTCTATGCCAAAGTAGAATGTAATAAAAATTATTTTACCACTGATTTCCACTGGAGTATAATCTTCTGTGAATGTTAGGTCAACAGAATTTGGCTTTGCTTACATCATCATGTGTAGATTTCATTTGTATTTATTCATGAAGGGTGCAAGTGTGTTACCAGATGTTGATAATTTTAAATATGCTTGCCAATGCCCATTACGTTTAGCTGACATGATCTGAAAATAACCATGTGTGGCACTTCCTCAGCATCAGAACATGCTGCCCTGAAGCTCACATTCTTGATCTGTTTTAAGCACTGACTAGTCACAGTCCAGGCTTCTCCCACTAAGAGGGAGGGACAGAAGGAAGTTAGTCTTGGTTGGGTTTTTTCCTCTTGTAAGAAAAGAACTGCCTGCTAATTAAGAAGCAAGCTTAATCAGCTGCTGTTAAAAGTTCCAGAGATGCCAAAAGTGAATGTCAGAGATATCTACAGGAGATCAGGAAATATGGCCAGTGATGTTAAGCAGGTGCTAGTACACCTTGCAGCTGAACCGCTGAAATGCCTGGAGCAAGGGTTGAATTGCTCTGCAAGACTCAGCATGGATGCCTGCAGCATGCAAGTTTTAGAAATGCTTGATCTCATCAGAATTAGTGAGCATGCTGACATTTCCTCCACACGCTGTCCCCTTAATACCCAAGCTGTGGCTCAGAAGCTGGGGAAGGTGATGTGCCTTACATCTCTGCAATTACAAAACCTGTGATGTTAAAAAAAAAAAGCTTGACAGGAGCACTGGTACATCAGTTGAACCTGCTTGTTATTGTGCTGCTGCTTCCACCTCTCAGCCGCCAAGTGTGTGTCACTGCCGTTGGAAACACGCGCCGGAAAGCCCAGGAAGTCTGTCGACTGTTTGGCCAGGCATTGGGAAAGCCTTTATTGATAAAAGAAGAGGAAACAAAAGAATGGGGAGGCCACATAGACGGTCACCTGTTACACTGTGCTGATTCACAGACTCTGCAGGAAAGAATCCAGAATGCTACTGCTTATGCTTCTTGTAGAGTGTTTGCTGTGTTTGAGATAAAGGGAAAAGAAAACAGGAGAAACAAATTGCTCTAGAAACCTTAAAATCGTACACATCTTAATAAAATTTTTATGCTTTCTTGTGCCTTTTGATTTTTTTTTTTTTTTTTTTTTTTTTTTTTTTTTTACTTCATTTTTTTGGTAAGTCCATTCCTTAAAATACAGTTAATTCTGAAAGTAAGTTCAGACCTGCTTATTTTTGTTTCCTGGCCCCTGTAAAACAGCAAGATATTTGACATGCAAAACATTTGGCACACCTGGCTGAAACTGCACCGCATATACACCTTTGCTCCCAAAACTGGACAGAAATTAATCCCCATTGCTGAGTCACGGCAAACTGAATATGCATTGTGTTCACTTCTGACAAAACTGAGTGTCCAACATAAAACCTGCTAAGGAATGTTTTATTTCATCATAGGAAAAAAATATACATTTTATCCTGGTGTCTGTTTGCTCAAGTTTAAAAATGGTATCTGTTGTCTGGACATACATTACATGTACAGACACTGAAGTACTCAGTCATGAGGGTAGAGTTTTTTCAACCATGACTGCATAATGTATTTTGATCCATCATATCCAATGAAGTAGGTTTCCATATCAGGGTGACACACCTGAGGAAAAAAATTTCCAGTTGAAGAAGCATCAGAATTTGCAATAAATATAGACCAATACTTAAATGAAGTGTCGAAGTTACCACATTGTTTGAAAACTCCTTATGAGTATTTAATGTACATAGAGGTACTTTCAATGGCATTTTCTGTGTACCATAACTGAATATCTGTCATCAGAATAGCAGCTCTCTCCAAGTATTTTACAAATGTTGAATAGATCTCACAAGATGTTACAAGCTAGATTTACACCAGCATCAGTGTTTAAAATCAGCAGTGTTTCTTATTCAGTAAGAAACACTCATGCTGCTAGTAAGTCATTCATGCTGCTGTTGGAGGTATTTGGTATTTCTTTTAGCTGGATCAGTTATCTAATTCAATGAGGCAGCAGGAACAATAAAGCAGTGGGGGAAATGGTGAAGACAGACCCAGGGGATGCCTTAGGTCCAAAATGAAGATGCAAACCCACCAAGGACAATCCAAGCCTTGTCTTGATGCAGGAAGCCCACAGTGAGTGGCTCAGAAGTGTCAGCTGGGAAAAGATCATGACAAGTCTAAGCATTTCCTGATCTCTCAACTCTTCAAGAAATTACTGTGGCTATTAGACTGTACAAAAGGCTGAGCGAGGGCAAGCCACAGACCTTTTGTACTTGAGACATGACTCACCATCTGTTATTAATCTCAGCTAGACTACTTTGAAACACCTGGTTTTGTGAGCTTGTGACCAATAGTTTCTCTAATAATCTACATGGAGAATTAACCTACTGCACAGGTGAATAAAGCAATTTATTAAAACCTTAAAAGCTAATTCTACAAAGTAAACATTTAAGATAAAGTATCTGTTTCTCCCCATGGAATAGAAAGGAAACTGAAGGTAGCCAGTTAACTGACATAGTGAAAGGTGCGTTTTTTAGACAGTGTGGGCAGAATCCAGATTTAAATATTTATTATATTCATCTGGAACAGCATAATTTCTATTCCTAAATTCAGGCATGTTGGCATATTCTATATTACAACTGGTGGCTAAACCAGAATGGGCTGAACTAAGGCTTCCCCCAAATAAAAGAGGTGATTGCCACACTGTGGTTGAGAGGGATCCTTTATGTGCAGCAGCACAGTTTTGAGAGAGAGCATAGAGAGTCTGCCTTACACAATTCCTTTGGGAGGTTTTCCCAAAAGGCAGAGGGATGTGCCAATTTTAATCTGCTCTGTTTGACTAGAAAAGTATCTCCTTTAGGTGAATTGTTGCTCTACTTGCTGTTATTTTAAATACAGACCCTGACACTGTCACAGAGAAGGCATCCACAACAGCTTAGGGTCCCTTGCAAAAAGCCACCTGTATGTGGCATGCATGCCTGAAGGCTGTTTTCTGGCTTAGAGTCTCAGACTAGTTTAAAAATCAGGTGTGCCTTGCATAAGCAAGGAATCAAAAGCTACTTCAACTCTGATACACAGAACAGAATTTTTGGCTCCCAAAGAATTTTGCATTAAGAAAGTAGATATTCTTCAGTCTGGGCAGCAGCTGAGCAGAAGCTATTTGAAATGGAGATTTTTCGAAGTAGAATTGAGAAACTAATAACTTTGCTAGATCCCCAGAAATCGCAAAACAAAAGTCAGTGTCTGCAACAGCCTATATATAGTGGAAATCAAGTTGCTAAAGAGTCGGATACTTTAAAGTGGATATTACCCGAGTGTGGTCATTTTTTAGCTTCAAAAATCCATGCTTGAAAGTACAGCAGTAATTTGTTTATCTGCTTTCTCTATTGGTTTTCATTAACTTTGCATCCTAGCTAGTATCTATTAAACCAAAGGTCAGCCAACTTTTAAACATACAGAATAACAATCAAGTTGCAACTGAATAAAAATAAATACTACCTCTAATTCCATAATAATTGTTATCTTTTCCTCAGGAACATAAGCTGTAGATTTGCCAAATCCATTTGCTCTGTTAATTAGAATTCTATAGTGAGGAGTATCTTTTAGATCCTGTAAAAATAGAAAGAAAATAAATAGCCTCAAAGAGACATGATGACTAAAGGTTACATATTATAATCAGTTAACATTCAGTGGGTTTACAGAACCTAAATCCACTTGAGATATGTGTGTGTGTGTGTGTGTGTGTGCATATATACAGCCAGTTCATTTTTATTATTTTATCAATATCAGAATAAATATAAAGCAATCAGAACTGCAACACACAAAGTTCTCAACATATTTGAAACATTTTTTAGGAGTCAAGAGTTTAATTAACCTTTTTTCCCACAGACCTTACAAGAAACGAGACTTAAAAATATCCTTGCTTATTGTACCTAGGCCCTTGGCCATCTGCTATCACCCTTCTTCCTTCACAAGTGACAACTAAACTCCAGAGAGGAAGAGAAGTTCAGAACATGATTAGTGTCTTCCTGCCAACAACCATGGTGCTGATCCTGGAAAGAGCTAGAGCAACTTCTACGTGTCTATATATGAATCTTCCAACAAAGAAGTGCCTATGAAAACAAGTCTTAGGCCAGGGAATATGGGCCATGATATTTGCTGCTATCCATAAATACTCTGGCCCAAAGTAACCCACAATTTAAATACAAAAACGTGATGGGTGAATGCAGATGGAGTTTATGAACAGGCAATGGCCTTTGCTCAGTTATTTCATAAAGATCTGGAAGTCAGATGAAGGCAAGGAAAAGTTGGGCTGAAAACCTGGCTGATGCTTTGAGGGATTTCAAAGGACCAAGTTCAGTAAACTGCAGCTTAAAGGTCAGACGGCATTTTGCAAAGTGCTTAAGACATAATAGGCAAAGGCAATTAAAACCTCAAAACCAACAAAAGACACTTAAACCCCTTGTCATCACTCTTGAAATTAAAACAATAAAGATGAACACAAAACCGCTGGGACAGCAGAACAATGTAAGGTACGTAAAAAGAATCAGTGTCTGCTGGGAAATTCTTGGGGGTTCAGCTGGCGATAACACTACTGAGAGGAGAAAAGAAACCAAGGATGCAGGTATTTTAGAAGCCAAAGATGTGGGACAGTTGGATGAAATTACATCAGGGAAGGAACAAAATACACAAAATGGGACTGAGTGTCAGTTCCCAGCTGAATGTGAATTTTCTGCTGTAGGCAAAGATTTTAATGTTTTTTTCATTTTGAGTCC